AAAGAAAGAAAGAAAGAAAGAAAAGAAAAGAAAAAGAAAAAGAAAAAAGCTGTGTAGGAGAGTTACACTCACTCATTTTCTTTTTTTTTTTGAGACGGAGTTTCGCTCTTGTTACCCAGGCTGGAGTGCAATGGCGCAATCTCGGCTCACCACAACCTCCGCCTCCTGGGTTCAGGCAATTCTCCTGCCTCAGCCTCCTGAGTAGCTGGGATTACAGGCACGTGCCACCATGCCCAGCTAATTTTTTGTATTTTTTATTTTAGTAGAAACGGGGTTTCACCATGTCGACCAGGATGGTCTCGATCTCTTGACCTCGTGATCCACCCGCCTCGGCCTCCCAAAGTGCTGGGATTACAGGCTTGAGCCACCGCGCCCGGCCCACTCACTCATTTTCAAACAGAAAACGCAGTTGCCTGCGGTAGAGATGAACACTGGCCAAAGGTCATAGGATTATCTCTAAGAGATCACATTTCTTAAGAGAAAGGCACGTGGGCTGGGTCCTTTGTGTGCTGGGTCATGCCTCTCAAGTATCCCATAATTACCAAAAAATGCTGCTGGAGGTCCCTTCTTAATTACTGAGCACTTTTGTTCTGAACCAAGCAGAAATGATGGCCAAGCTCCGGGCCTGAAATAAACCAAGGGAGGCAGTGAAGGGAATTACAGCTAGATTTCTAGATTAAGTGCCTTAACAACAAAGCCTTTGAAAAATAAAAATAGACTGCTTAGGCCAGGCACGGTGGCTCATGCCTGTAATCCCAGCACTTTGGGAGGCCGAGGTGGGTGGATCACCTGACATCAGGAGTTTGAAACCAGCCTGACCAATATGTCAAAACCCAGTCTCTACTAAAAAATAAAAATAAATCAGAAAAAGCTGGGCATGGTGGTGCACACCTGTAATCTCAGCTGCTCAGGAGGCTAAGGCATGAGAATCGCTTGAACCCAGTAGGCGAAGGTTGCAGTGAGCCAAGATTGCACGACTGCACTCCCGCCTGGGTGATGAAGTGAGACTCTGTCTCAAAAAAACAAAAAGAAAATAGATGGCTTAAATAAAACCAGACTTAGAATATTAGTGAATCCCTTGACATGTTTATTTGGCCTCATTTCTGGGCACCCCTGTGTACCTTACTGGGAAGTAATGTAGAATCATTCAGAGGAATTTCATTATGTTAAATAACACGATCTTTTTTTTATTCTTAGCCATAATATTTAAATTTCTAAAAGACACAGTTATTTTCTGAACCTGTCACTGCCTAATGGGTTGTATGACACTGAAAGGTAGAAGGGAGAGGTATTTTAATTAGATCAGTTTATTGTCATTGATAAGAGTAATAAAAAAAGAAGCCTGAAATTATTTATTTTACAGTATGTAAGATGAGGAAGGAGGAGGAGGCTGAGGAGAAGGGGGATGGGGAAGAGGATGAAGAGGAAGAGGAGGAGGAGGAGGGAGATTCACTGATAAAGTAAAAATGTAGTACGAACTCTGGAAAGAGCTTTGAAGATCAATTTCTCTAACTTGTCAAACTTACATTACTGTAATATATACATTAAGCAAGGTGAGGATGGGGCTGTGTCTTGAACATCCTAGCTGTTCAATAATTATGATGGAATGATAGATGGATATTGTGGTGGAGCTGCATCATGTTGTTATTAAACCACTGTGCCAGTGTTAGAACAAACTCCTCCCTCCTCATCCTCCCCAAGCAGTGCCAGGAACCCGGCGTCAGGGCTTGAGAGGGAACTGTCCAGTGGGGCTGAGGTCAGAAACACCAACTGGAAAAGAGGGAGAAGGGAGCCGTGTTCTTTTCTGAAGCTTTACAGAGAAAAGTGCCTTTGAGGGTCAGGTCAAGTTTGATTGTTACTCAAATCCTCCACCTACTTTTAGTAAATCGTGTGCTAGCAACATACATGAATGCTATCTCAGTTCTCACAACAGAAGCAGGTATTATTGTATATGAAAGTTATAGAGGTGTAATATTAAAACAGAAATCCTGTGGGTGGAGTGTGGGGAGCTCTCCGCATTACTCCACTTGCTGTTCCTCAATCAACTGCACCAACAACTGGGATTACAGAACATTTTGAAAGTGCAGACATCAGCACTCGCCCGTGCTCTTTCTTGCAGACCAGCTCACTGAGCTCTCCTGCATTACTGTGCATTAGAATTCACGACATGTTCAAAATACAAAATCACATATTTTTTACTTTCAGGGCTCAAATGTAATCCCAGCATTTCGGGAAGCCAAGGTGGGAGATTGCTTGAAGCCAGGAGTTCAAGAAAAGCCTGGGCAACATCACAAGACCCTTTCTCTACAAAACATTTAAAAATTAGCTGGGTGTGGTGGCAAGCACCTATAGTCCCAGCTCCTTGGGGGGCTGAGATGGGAAGATTGCGGAGCCTGGGAGGTGAGGCTGCAGTGAGCTATGACCACACCACTGCATTCCAGCCTGGGCAACAGAGTGTGACCCCATCTCTCTAAAAAAAAAAAAAAAAAAAAAGCAAAATAGGAATTTCCAATAGTACATTTGACTACACAACAGTTTTTGAGATAACTTTAAAACAACTCTGATGTAGCATGTGACTCCACAGTAATATATACATATATGCTTTTTTATCAGGTGAACTAGATGATCAATATATAATTCGCTTCATGAAAGAAAAGCTAAAATCAATGCCTTGCAGGAATCAAGGTTACATCTTGGATGGATTCCCAAAGACCTATGATCAAGCAAAAGACCTGTTCAATCGTAAGTCTGAGTGTCCTATTTTGAGTATTTATATTCAGATAATTTGCAACTTCATTGTTCAGACAAACAGTCACTCAGTTAAAGTAAACAAAAAACTAGAGGGACGATTTTTGAGCCTTGGCTCACCTTTCATTAGGTAGCATTTTTTTCTTTTTGTTTTTTCCCCTGGATGTTGACTCAAGGTGCATAGGCTTTTGCAAATTTTTTAAAATTATGTTTTATTGAATTGTGGCACAAATACTTCACATGAAATCTACCTTCTGAACAAGGTTTTTAAGTGTGTGATATGTTATTGCTGGCTACAGGCACTGTGCTGCTCAGCAGATCTCTAGAGCTTATGCATCTTGCCGGATTAACACTGTATGCCTATTGATAGTGACTTTTGTTTATTCCCCTCCCCAGCCCCCGACAACCACCATATGGAACTCTTTCTTTCTTTTCTTTTTTTTTTTTCTTTTTTTTTTTTTGAGGTGGAGTTTCGGTCTTGTTGCTCAGGCTGGAGTGCAGTGGGTCAATCTTGGCTCACCGAAACCTACGCTTCACAGGTTCAAGCAATTCTCCTGCCTCAGCCTCCCCAGTAGCTGGGATTACAGGGATGCGCCACCATACCCAGCTAATTTTGTATTTTTAGGGGTTTTTCCATGTTGGTGAGGCTGGTCTCAAACTCCTGACCTCAGGTGATCTGCCTGCCTCAGCCTCCCAATGTGCTGGGATTCCAGGTGTAAGCCTCCAAGCCTGGCACTCCCTACTCTTTGATTCCATGAATTTGACTACTCAAGTTCCCCATGTAAGTGGAATGATGTAGTATTTGTCTATCACTGATTTCACTTAGCCCAATGTCCTCAAGGTTCATCCTTGTTGCTGTACATAACAGAATTTCCTTAAAAAACAAAACAAAACAAAACAAAAACAGAGAAAGAGACGGGATCTTGTTCATCACCCAGCCTGGAGGACAGTGATATATATGATCATAGCTTACTGCAGCCTTGACCTTGACCTCCTGGGCTCAAGTGGTTCTCCTGCCTCAGTCTCCCAAGTAGCTGGGACTACAGGCTTGCATGACCATGCCCAGCTAATTTTAAAATTGTTTGCAGGTTCACTCTGTTGCCAGGCTGATCTCTGAACTCCTGGCTTCAGGTTACCCACTGCCCTGGCCTCTCAAATTGTTGGGATTACAGGTGTGAGCCATGGCCCTCAGCCATTTCCTTCCTTTTAAAGGCTGATTCATATTCTGTTAGATGCACATACCACATTTTCTTTATCCATGCATCCATCAATGTACATTTGGTTTGTGAGGCTAGTTCTAAAAATACATGTGCTATTTATGGCTAGTTTCTATTAGTTCTTGCTACTTAAGATATTTGGATTTTTTTGTTGTGATTGTAATAATATATTAATAAACACAATGAGGAATATTTTGTTTTCTTAGAAGAAGATGAGGAGGAAGAAGATGAAGTCAGAGGCAGAATGTTTCCCTTTGATAAAGTAATTATACCTGGTAAGTTTATTTCCCCAAGATCACATTTAAAAGAATGCTCTTTGGGCTGGGCAAGGTGGCTCACACCTGTAATCCCAGAACATTAGGAGGCCGAGGCAGGTGGATCACCTAAGGTCAGGAGTTTGAGACCAACCTGGCTAACATGGCAAAACCCCATCTCTAATAAAAATACAAAAATTAGCTGGATGCCGTAGCATGTGCCTGTAGTCCTAGCTACTTGGGAGGCTGAGGCAGGAGAATCACTTGAACCCGGGAGATGGAGGTTGCAGTAAGCCAAGATCATGTCACTGCACTCCAGCCTGAGTAATGGAGAGACTTTGTCTCAAAAAAAAAAAAAAAAAAAAAAAAGAATGCTGTCTGATATCTCTCTCTTCTTTTTTTCCATTCTTCCCACCCCCACTCCTCAGTAGCTGGGACTACAGGTGTCCGCCACTACGCCCAGCTAATTTTTGTATTTTTAGTAGAGGCGGGGTTTCACCATGTTGCCCAGGCTGCTCTCAAACTCCTGGCCTCAGGTGATGCACCCACCTTGGCCTCCCAAAGTGCTGGGATTACAAGCGTAAGCCGTCTCACTCAGCGTTTTTTTTTTTTTTTTTTTTTTTTTAACTTTCACAGAGCTCCACAGGCAGCATGCCTAGAGTAGCTGGATATCTCTTTTGTGCAGAAACAATCTTTTTGAGTTTAATAAAGTAGGATTTTCTTTTTAGGAAAAAAATTAACTTGCATGAACTTGCAGACTAGAGAATTCACCAAGGAATAAACATGAGGAATTTTAACGTGCTGAAATGAATAGAAATGCCTGTGGGAACATTATCTTCCACTGCTCTCTCCAGTAACGAAGCAAAAGGTAGCAAATCTGTTGATGGCTTGACTTCCTGAGTCACGTCAGCTCCTTCCCTGCCCTGGTTTTGCTGCTGACCATGCCATCATCTCTTCCAGAAGACACCCAGCTTCTGACTTGAGATTGCACAGCTCCAAAGCTTTTCAGTTCACTGTTAATGCTGCAGCAGTTTCACTCTTTCACATATTTACACAGAGATTTCACAAAGCACTCTCGAAAGCGAAGCATAAGCAATTTATCCTATACAACAGGATGTACTTAGTACTGAGCAGGCATTTCTTGTGAACTTCCTATAAACATTAAACAGTTTTTTTTTTTTTTTTTTTTTTTTTTTTTTTTTTAGTCACTTTGCTTGAGGTATATATTCATAGGAAATCATTTTGGGTCATATGATCACTATAAGAAAAACTATTTTCAGCAACTTAGGACAAGGGTGTAACTAAAAAGGGCCTGCTCACTGATATCAATTCCCCAAGAAAGGCAGCTTGCAGCTGTTATCTCCTCCTCTTGGTCCAGCACAGTTTGCAGAGAAGCTTCTGGAAGCACTGAGACCACCAGATAGCAGTCATCCTTGGGGATGGATATTTATTGTTTGCCTATAGGCTCTGAAGCCAATGGCAGAAGCATGAAATGCCACAGGGATGGCTTGTCTCAGATTTCCCATTAATTTAGGCAAATGCCTCAGAAAAAGTTAAAAAGTGAAGTTGGTTGGCCGGACACAGTGCCTGTAATCCCAGCACTTTGGAAGATCAAGGTGGGAGGATCTCTTGAGCTCAGGAGTTAGAAACCAGCCTAAGCAACATAGTGAGACCTCATATCTACTAAAAAAAAAAAAAAAAAAATTCAAAAAAAATTAGCCAGGGGTGGTGCCGTGCACCTGTAGTCCCAGCTACTTGGAAGGCTGAGGTGAGGGAATCGCTTCAGCATGGAAAGTTGAGGCTGCAGGGGGCTCTGATTGCGCCACTGCACCCCAGCCTGGGCAACAGAGCAAGAACCTGTCTCAAAAAAAATTAATTAAAAAAAAAGTAAAGTTTATTTGTCTACATAATCAACTTCATTATTGATTATTGATTCTAGGTAGGTGTGTCTAGTGTATGTATATTTATCCCTTCTAGGCAGTATTAATTCATTGCAAACTCTGTGATAAATCATAACACTCTCACTGAGGCAGCTGGATAGATTTCAGCTCAACTGGCAATTCGTCATGGGCAATTTATCATGCACCAGGCACTCATTGAACCTTTCCACAAGCCTGCAAGGGAGGGATTACACCCACGTTTACCCAACCCGGAAGATAAAGCCCAGAGGTCACGCAAGTCCACTCACTAGTAAATGGTAGGGGGGATTAAATTCAAATTCAGGTCTTCTCACTCCATTGCCTCCAAAACAGAATTAATGAAGCCCCCCTGTAAGATAAGGAAATGGAAGCACAGAGGTCAAGTGACCAAGGATTCTTAAACGTAGGCCACTGGGCTGTCCTCTCTTGGTTGGACACGGTGCAAACATATCTAAGACGCAGTCTATTTGGAATGTTAATCTGTTGTTAGCAAATTACCCCCTTTCCAGAAATTGTCTTTATTTTCTATTTCTCTGAAAGAAATTAGAGCATTGTTTCATTTGTACCTATGGGATTTTAATTGGGAGAGGGAACTGAATGATGACATGGAGAGGTCAAAGCCATTGAAAGAAGAATCTACCACTTAGGATTCCCTAGAGAAGGGGCACATGGGGAATGCCAGATGTGGTCAGGCAGCAGAAGCAAGAACAAGGGAGAAGATCTAGGCTACAGTGTTTGTTGGTGTTTCTTTGGGAAAGCCAAGGCAGGCCAGAGTGAACAGTTTGGGACTGGCTAGTTTGAGTTTAGGGGTGGTGTCTAGTTGCCTGGGGCCTAGTCCTGGGATGATTTCGGGCCAGGGAAATACTGGCTTGCTGTGTGAGATTAGATAAACAGAGTGAGTGGCTTGCATAGGAGGGGGATTCACAAGTAAGTTGTTACTATCTTTTTTTTTTTTGAGACAGAGTCTCGCTCTGTCGCCCAGGCTGGAATGTAATGGTACAGTCTTGGCTCACTGCAACCTCCACCTCCTGGGTTCAAGTGATTCTCCTGCCTCAGCCTCCCGAGTAGCTGGCACTACAGGCATGTGTCACCACACCCGGCTAATTTTTGTATTTTTAGTAGAGACGGGGTTTCACTATGTTGACCAGGATGGTCTCCTACTCCTGATCTCATGATCCACCCGCCTCAGCCTCCCAAAGTGCTGGGATGACAGGCATGAGCCACCATGCCCAGCCAAGTTGTCACTATCTTTAGTTATTAGCTAGGCCTGGGAAGGGCAGCAGTCTCTCCCCAGATCTGTAAGGCCCCCCTCAAGATGTCAAAACAGGCCAGGTGTGGTGGCTTACGCCTGCAATCCCAGCACTTGGGGAGGCTAAGGCAGGAGGATTGCTTGTGTTCAGGAGTTGAAGGCCAGCATGGACAATATAGCAGGACCCTCGTCTCCACAGACACAAAAACATTTTTAATTAGCCAGGTGTGGTGGCATGTGCCTGTGGTCCCAGCTACTCAGGAAGCTGAGGTGGGAGGATCTCTTGAGCCCAGGAGGTCAAGGCTGCTGTGAGCCTTGATCACGCCACTGCACTTCAGCCTGGGTTGACAGAGTGAGACCCTGTCTCTTAGACTATAAAAAAAAAAAAAAAAAAAAAAAAAAAAAAAAGTCAAAGCATAGGATACAGAAAATAAAAGAAATACTTTCCAATCTATGGTAATCCAGTTCTAGCTGGAATTCTCTCCCATTGAACAGCCATTGTATTTTACCACTACTGTTAGGCCATGTCCAGTTTGGTTCTTTTCAGATCTCCTGGTTGAAGGAGATAAGTTTAAAGTTGTGCCTACCTGATGGCTATTTGGAAATTTGTTTTCATGGGACCTCCTTATTAACTCCAGTCTTACCAAGCAGAAATCTATTACTCGCTATTCACAGTTAGCCAGTGCTAGGACAAGAGACGTTCTGAATAACTGTTGTGAGATGCTACAGGATCTTGAAGTTCTCTGTGAGTCATAGAGAGAATGACTGAACATTTTTTAAAAATTATCTAGAGGGTAGTATATTTTAATCATATTAAAATTCTTTGAAAATTGAAAAGCTAAGGATCTTACTCATTATTTGCAATATTCAATTAACTGGAATCTTCTACCTCCCAATCAGCCTGGGAGAAAAGATAGAATATATTTTGAAAGTCATAGATTATTAACATAATTCATACATTTTCTAACAAATGAGTATCACATCAGGGAAAAAATTTTAATGAAAAAATACGTTTTCTTATAGATGTCTGACATCATAGAGCTTAAACAGATTCAATTTTCAGCGAATTTATTGACATAATTTTTATTTCAGTACTGTACCAGCATTTCAGGGTTCAGATGTCTCCCTCACTTTTATTTTTTTTCCCAAGATGGATTCTCGCTCTGTCTCCAGGCTGGAGTGCAGTGGCACGATGTTGGCTCACTGCAACCTCTGACTTACTGGTTCAAGTGATTCTCCTGCCTCAGCCTCCTGGGTAGCTGAGACTACAGGCACGTGCCGCCACACCCAGCTAATTTTTGTATTTTTAGTACAGACAGGATTTCATCATATTGGCCAGATGGTCTTGATCTGACCTCGTGATCTGCCTGCCTTGGCCTCCCAAAGTGCTGGGATTACAGGCGTGAGCCACCACACCCGGCCGTGTCTCCCTTCCTTTTCAAAAAGCAGCTACTCATGAATATCATGGTCAAAGATGAGCAAAAGATAGGAACAACTTACTTGAGAGAATGCCTCTTCCATGCAGGATGGAGCTAGTATCAAACTATTACGAATTTATAGAATCTTATTCTATAAATAAGGCTCAGCCTCAGTCTCAGCCTTTGTTTTCACAGTTAACATGTGCAGCAGATGATGTTCACACATGTCCACCTGCCTGGGGGACACACCTCCTGTGGGCTTCCCCCAGTACACTTATCTTTTTCGCCCACTCAAGGAAGCTTATTAGAATGCAAGTAAATGAAAATGGCATTGTGATGTTACAAGCCAATATGATTTTAGAATTAAAATCAAGGCCGGGCATGGTGGCTCACGCCTGTAATCCCAGCACTTTGGGAGGCCAAGGCAGGCAGATCACGAGGTCAGAAGATGGAGACCATCCTGGCCAACATGGTGAAACCCCGGCTCTACTAAAAATACAAAAAAAAAATTAGCTGGGAGTGGTGGCAGACACCTGTAATCCCAGCTACTCAGGAGGCTGAGGCAGGAGAATCACTTGAACCTGGGCAGCAGAGGTTGCAGTGAGCCAAGATCGCGCCACTGCACTGGGTGACACAGCAAGACTCTGTCTTAAAAAAAAAAAATCAAATGATTCCCAAGTTCTGTTGGGCTCTAATAGATAGCAAGCTATTTGTGATGCACCCAGCCACTGATCTGGGCACCAGTGTGCACTGGGCCTGTGACTGAGAGCATCTAAGAATCACAGCTCACCTTGGAAAGTTCATTTCACTGGTCTGCATTTGATTCTCTCATTCACTCAACAAACATCCATTGAATTTGTACTAGAAGCTGGAGGAACAGCTGCTTTCACAGTTTAAAAGAAAATCACAGGTGGGTAAAATGGTCATCATTATTAACATGATCTGTGTGTTGAATTTGACAAGTGCTGACCGTATCATCATAGCCAATGGCATTGAGGAAAGAACTGGATCCATGAAAATTCCAAGGGGAGTTCCCATTTTTTATTAATTTGGCAAACTGGCCATCAAAGCATTTGCCTACAGCCACAGCTCTCTTTCGAAGCCTGTGATAATTGTGCTGGACAGGCAGCAATGTGAGGCCAGGAGCCATGGCTTATGCCTGCCAGCACTTTGGGAAGCCAAAGTGGGAGGATTGCTTAAGGCAGGAACTTGGGACCACCCTGCACATAGTGAGACCTTGTCTCTCTCTAAAATATATATATATATGCATATATGTATATGTATGTATATTTAAAAAAAGAGAGAGAGAAAAGAGACAATGTGAAAATTAGGAAGCTGATATCACAGGATTATCTGAGATTTACTACTTATGATTTCTGCTGCTTTTATTAGTTAGGAGGGGAAGAAGGAAGGAAGGAAGGAGGGAGGGAGGGAGAAAGGAAGGAAAGGAGGAAGGAAGGGGAAAATAATAGATTGCACAAAATACCAATTGGGTCTCATAGGGTGGTCTCTGGAATTGGGGTGATTTTCATCTATTTATCCTCCGTAAGAGGCAGCAAAGCCAACCGGACAGACTATCTGTGGCAACAGGAGGTCCTGACTGGTAACCAGACACTTGGGTTAGCAGGGGCCCACGTGTTCTCCAGCACCCTGCTAATCAGCCGCGCGGTACTGCGCCAACTCTGGAGTCTCTCCTTCTCCCCAGAATTCGTTTGTGCACTGGATGCTTCAGATGAGTTTCTGAAGGAGCGTGTGATAAACCTTCCCGAGAGCATCGTAGCGGGGACCCACTACAGCCAAGACCGATTCCTCCGGGCTCTGAGCAACTACCGGGACATCAATCTCGAAGATGAGACAGTCTTAAACTATTTTGATGAAATTGAAATTCACCCGATACATATTGGTATGAAATGAATTCAAGGATAATGTGAATGTCCAGGGCCAGGACCCCCAGAAAACCCTGGTGCAGGTCTAGCTGTAATTGTGGAGCTGAGGGAGGGTGGGGAATATAACCCTGGGCTGGGGCACAGGAAGCCACAGGATACACAGGGCACTCCTCCTGGGGAGTCATTTTACATGGGGATTTGGTGGTGGGAGAGTGTTACTATTGTGTGAGAATTTACGGATATATAATGAAGTCAAATGACAAGCTTGGGCCATTCCCCCAGGTTCCCTGGGGGCAGTGTACGTTCCCAGTTACATTGCTGGGCACTGGTGTGCTCTTCCGGACCTTTTCCTTCAGACTGGCCAGCCCATTCCTGTAGCTACCTGGAAAAGCAAATAACTCTTCACCACATTCCTTCTTGTTTCCTGTAAACACAGCTCTGAGACCTTTCTGGTTTTCTGGATCTTGACACTTATTCCTCCTTTGGGCTTGGTGACAACCAACCAGGCCCTGTCTGGTGGAAGCTTCCTGGCCTGCCCACCTGTGAGCCTCCAGGGCTGCTCTCTACCCCCAGCTGCCCAATGGGACAGCATTTAGGCCCTGGAGTATCGGGAGGCTTAGTGCTGAGGGATAATGTCAGGAGGAGGCAGGAGAGCTAATTCCAGTTGTGGCTGGGCCTCAGTTTTCTCATCTGTGAAATAGGAAAATAATCAGACTTGCAGGATTGTGACAAATGGTAGAGATAAGACATACAAAGTGTCTGGTACGCTGAGGGAGTTCAACAAGTGGCCATTTTGTTATTCCTACCAATACTAAGGCATAAAATGACATCCTATTACGAAATATAAAAAAGTCTGGGTGCGGTGGCCCACCCATGTACTTTCGTATTTTTACAAAATACAAAAATTCCAGCACTTTGGAAAGCCAAGGTGGGTGGATCACCTGAGGTCAGGAGTTCCAGACCAGCGTGGCCAACATGGCAAAACCCTGTTTCTACTAAAAATACAAAATGAGCCAGGTGTGGTGGCACATGCCTGTAATCCCAGCTACCCTGGAGGCTGAGGCAGGAGAATTGTTTGAACCTGGGAGAAAGAAGTTGCAATGAGCCGAGATTGTGCCTCTGCACTCCAGCTTGGGTGACAGAGTAACACTCCATCTCAAAAACACAAAAAGAAAAGAAAAGAAAAAAGAAATATAAAAATAACAATTTATAAACTGCAAATTCTTCTGGTCTGCACCCTCAGTAATGACTGGGTTTTGTCCTCATCTGGACATGTTTCTGCACATTGGACAGGCTTTATACATAAAAGCTAAGGGTTCTGCAGCTCCTAATATGGAAATTAGTTTACATTATTTAGAGAGCTAGGAAAGAATGGAGAATACATTTCAGAAAAATAGTGATTGTCATCCTTTCAGTAAAGTCCAAAAAATTGTTTATAGGGATATCAGGAGAGCCCAGGGAGAAATGTTGAGAAGAAAAGAAATAACAGGGAGGAATGAATGAGTGGCCATTGTATTCCGTCTCATCCTGTGACCATCTCATTTGACCTTATCTGCAACTGGCAACTGGGAGATAACATAAAAGCAGAGGGGAGAGATGTATCATCCTAAGGATGGGAGGAGGGGAGGGACATCTCACGGTCCGGGACACAGCCTGGCCTCTACAAAGTCTGTAATGGGGCCCTGGAAAGATGCTGGGAACCACATCCTCTCTGCAGCTCTGGACTCCGCTTCTCTCTCAGTGTCTCTTTTGTCCTCCCTGTCTTTGGGCCAGGGTTATCTCCCCGTCTCTGGCCTGTGTGGTAGGTTGAGGCCACCCCATGCCCCAGAGTTACAATGCTACACAGAGAGCCAAGCCCAGAGCTGACCTCACTCTGTCCAATCCCACACTCCCTGAAGGGCATCTCTGCTGGCCACAGTTCGGGCTGAGGTGCCCACCTCGCTCTAATCAGCCTGGACAACATGGGGAGTTCAAGATCATATACAGAGTTCAAGATCAGCCTGGGCAACATGGGGAGACTCTGTCTCTATAAAAAATAAATAAAAACCAAACACAGGAGGGTGGGCACAGCAGTGGCCCTGCTCTGGGGTCAGAGTGGAATATTGCTAGGAGAATCATTCCCGAGTCCCTTCTCAAAGGTGTCCAGTTAGTGACATCAAGGTTGTAATTACCCAGAGTAATCAAGGAGAAATGCACTTATTTGTTTGTTTATTTATTTAATTTTTTCCTTCTGAGACAGAGTCTCCCTCTGTCACCCAGGCTGAAGTGCAGTGGCATGATCTTGACTCACTGCAACCTCCACCTCCCCTGTTTAAGCAATTCTCCTGCCTCAGCCTCCCAAGTAGTTGGGATTACAGGCGTATGCCACCATGTCTGTCTAATTTTCGTATTTTTGGTAGAGACACAGTTTTGCCATGTTGGCCAGCCTGATCTCAAACTCCTGGCCTCAAGTCATCTGTCCACCTCAGCCTCCCCAAAGTGCTTGGGATTACAGGTGTGAGCCACAGCACCGGGCGAGAAATGTATTTAAATGTCACAGGTCAGGCAATGAGGTGGTACCCATTATGACTTTTACTTTTTTGGTTTTTTTGTTTTGTTTGTTTTGTTTTTTGAGACAGAGTCTTGCTCTGTCACCGAGGCTAGAGAGCAGTGGCTCCATCTCAATACAACCTCTGCCTCCTGGGCTCAAGTGATCATCCTGCCTCAGCCTCCCAAGTAGCTGGGACTACAGGCGTGCACCACCACACCCAGCTAATGTTTGTATTTTTACTGGAGATGGGGGTTTCTCCATGTTGGCCAGGCTGGTCTCAAACTCCTGACCTCAAGTGATCCACCTGCCTTGGCCTCTCAAAGGGCTGAGATTACAGGCGTCAGCCACCGTGGCCAGCTGTTTTTTGCTTTTTTAAGGGCTTGCTTCTGTTCACCAACCAATGCATTGGCTCTGCTCCTTCCCTCTTCCCATGTTAGAACCTGGTGGTGCTTCTGGCCTAGGTCAAGGTCATACAAACATGGGAGGGGTGGTGGTTCATGCCTGTAATCCCAGCACTTCGCGAGCCTGAGGCAGGAGGACTGGTTGAGCCCAAGAATTCAAGATCAGCCTGGGCAACATGGGGAGACTCTGTCTCTATAAAAAATAAAAATAAATAAAAACCAAATGTGGGATGGTAGGCACAGCAGTGGCTGAGTGGGAGTGGGGTAAGCAGTTACCCAGAGGAAGGTCTGGAGGGGCTCAGTGCCAAAATGTGTCTGCTGCACACCATTTTCTGCAGACACCTTCCAAGCAGCCCCAAGAGTGGTATAGAATTGACCACCTCACTGACCGTGGAGATCAACAAGCCACTTTTCCTTTCTTTGGTCTTGATATTAACATTTCTCAGATATTCTGGAGTCTAGATTTTTTTCCAATTCAAGTAGACACACTGAAATGGTTATTTTTTTATTTATTTATTTTATTTATTTATTTTTTGAGACGGAGTTTCACTCATGTTACCCAGGCTGGAGTGCAATGGCGCGATCTCGGCTCACCGCAACCTCTGCCTCCTGGGTTCAGGCAATTCTCCTGCCTCAGCCTCCTGAGTAGCTGGGATTACAGGCACACGCCACCATGCCCAGCTAATGTTTTGTATTTTTAGTAGAGACAGGGTTTCACCGTGTTGACCAGGATGGTCTCGATCTCTTGACCTCGTGATCCACCCGCCTCGGCCTCCCAAAGTGCTGGGATTACAGGCTTGAGCCACCGCGCCCGGCATGGTTATTTTTTTTATGAATTAAAAATGTATCCCAGAATCATTGATTTTCAGAAATGGAATATCTTCGTTTGTTTTTTTGTTTTGTTTTGTTTTGTTTTTTGAGACAGAGTCTTGCTCTGTCACCGAGGCTGGAGAGCAGTGGCTCCATCTCAATACAACCTCTGCCTCCTGGGCTCAAGTGATCCTTCTGCCTCAGCCTCCCAAGTAGCTGGGACTACAGGCATGCAACACCAAACCCTTCAAGAAGGAAACTTGAGAGCATCCTGTTTGGCCTCCCACAAGGGCAGGACCTCCTTCTGTAGAAACTTCTGAAAGAAGTGTCCCAGTCTTTGGCTGGGCGTGGTGGCTCATGCCTGTAATCCCAGCACTTTGGGAGGCCAAGGTGGGTGGTCACAAGGTCAGGAGTTCGAGACCAGCCTGGCCAACATGGTAAAACCCCATCTCTACTAATACTACAAAAAATTAGCCAGGCCTGGTGGCAGGTGCCTGCAATCCCAGCTACTCGGGAGGCTGAGGCAAGACAATTGCCTGAACCTGGGAGGTGGAGGCTTCAATGAGACCTCACCACCACACTCCAGCCTGGGCAACAGAGTGAGACTCCATCTCAGAAAGAAGTGCCCCGGTCTTTGCTTGAATACTTCCAGGCATGGAGAGCTCATTGCTTTTCCAGGCAAGCCATTCCCCGATCCAACCACTCAAATCAAGTCATTGTTAGAACCCACAGACCCAAGTCCAAATTTTCCTACTCATGGCCCTCAGACTCTGGTCTGATATTTGCCTATGAGAGAAGAAATTCTGAACTATGCTGGCAATTAGAAAAGAAAACCCCATGTAGTAATTTACATAATTGACTATCACAAGTTTATAGTAATAAAGAATTTTCCCAATTGCAGGCAGGCCTAGAATATAAGTATGTGTTGATCTCTCTTCTGGTATTTAAAGATGTAGGAAAACTTGAGGACGCTCAGAATAGACTTGCTATCAAACAGCTCATCAAAGAGATTGGGGAGCCTCAAAATTATGGTTTAACAGACGAAGAAAAGGCAGAAAAGGAGTGGAAGGCTGCGGAGGAGCGCCTGGCCAGGGAGGCTGCTGAGGAAGCAGAACGAGAGCACAAGGAGGCCGTGGAGACTGCAGAGAAGATAGCTCGCTGGGAGGAGTGGGTGAGCGGGACTGTGTGTGCGTCTGTGTGTGTGGAGCGGGCCTGCGGTGCCTGGCAAAGCCATTTCGGCCAGTTTCATTTCGGATCCTGCTCTAGGGAAATGTCATAGAAATACCCCAAACAAATTTGTGTTCGCTTTTTCTCATTTGTACCATCTAAAAAAGGATATCCATGGTCTTTGGCTTACTAATTTTTTTTTTCTTTTTCTTTTTGTTTGCGACAGGGTCTGGCTCTTTGCCCAGACTGGAGTGCAGTGGCGCAATCTCAGCTCACTTCAACCTCTGCCTCCCGGGTTCAGGTGATTCTCTTGTCTCAGCCTCCCAAGTAGCTGGGACTACAGGTGTGCACCATCAAGCCCAGCTAATTTTTCTGTTTTTGATAAAAACAGAGTTTCACCATGTTGACCAGCCAGGCTGGTCTCAAACTCCTGATCTCAAGTGACCCGCCCGCTTCTGCCTCCCAAGGTGCTGGAATTATGGGCGTGAGCCACCGTGCCCGGCTCGCTTAGTATTAATAACAAAAACTAGCCATTGTCAGGTGTATTCATCATACAAATTCCTGTAAATGTGTAACATTTTGCTACACTCTGACCTCATGATTTGATTTGATTTTCTTCCATTTACCCATCCAGACTACCAAGGTGGTCAGCTTTGTTCCACCCCACCTCATTCCTCAAATCACTGTGTCTAGTAAATGATTCTGCTTCCAAAAATAACACTCTTAGGCTGGGCATGGTGGTTCATACCTGTAATCCCAGCACTTTGGGAGGCTAAGGCTGGGGAATCATTTGAGCTTAGGTGTTCAAGACCAGCCCAGGCAACATAAGAAGACCTTGAATCTACTAAAAATTAAAATTAAAATTAGCTGGGCATGGTGGCATGCCTGTAGCCTCAACTACTAGGGAGGCTCAGGTGGGAGGATCACTTCAGCCTGGAGGATTAGTTGAGCCTGGGGGACTGATGCTGCAGTGAGCTATGATTGTGCTATGACACTCCAGCCTGGACAACAGAGCGAGACTCTGTCTCAAAAAACAAACACCATCAGTGGTACCCAAATCTGTCCCCAGCTCTCTGCTTCTGATCATGGTCAGTGTTTTGCACCCGAATTGTGCAGTGTCTTCTCACTGTTCTCCCCGACTACCCTGGCCCATCTCCGGTCTCTTCCCACGCAGCTGCCAGGTGATCCTTCGAAACTGCAGACCCACCATGGCCATACTCTGCTTACAACTCCCCACAGGCCCTTCGTCACTATTTGATAAAAGTCCAAACTTCTCATTGTGGCCAAGGTCCTTTGTGACCTGGCTACTTCTAATATTTCCCAATTTCAAGCAGTGCTCCAGTGTGGTCTCAGTCGCCTGCATGATGCAGTGCCTCCCAGACACCTCACATCTTTACCAGAAGTCATCTTTCTAGTGAGGCATTTCCTGGTCTCTGTATAAAATTCAATGCCTACCTCTCCCACAACCTGTCACACACATCCCCTTTTATGCCTTTTAATTTTCCTCTTTGTACTTACTCTACCTATTACACATTTATGTATTTATCTTGTTTCTTGCCTTTTCTCTGCACAGAACTTAAGTTACATGAGGACATAGATGTCTGTGTTGTTCACTATCACATATCCAATGCCTAGAATAGTGCCTGGCACGTAACAGGCACTCAACAACTGGAAGGAAGGAAAGAAGGGAGACAGGAAGGAAGAAGAGAGGGAGGGACGGAGGGAGGGAGGCCCTATGTACACATATTTGGATGCCTGATTAATCTTCTTAACATAAATTCCTAAAGTTTGCTGGGTCAGACTAGACATGGTTTAACAGATGGCTATTTCCCTACACCTCCTCTAAACCTGCTTTCTCACTTTTGCTCGCACGTGTCAGGCTGACAAAAACTGTTCACATTGTTTTATTATTCATTTCTCTGATCATTAATCTTACAGCTTTTTTTTATGTTTGTTAATCATTTATGTTTCTTCTCATGTTGCATATTTTCTCTGCCCGTATTTGGGCTGTGTGTCTTTTTCTTATTATTTTGCAAAAAGAACTCCTGATAAACTAGCTTAACAGAAATAGAAATGGCTCCACTTGGCCTCCCAAGTCATACTGCTGGAGTTCAAATTCCACTCCACTCTCTCTGTAGGTACATGGCCTTGTGCAAGTTCCTCTCTGTGTCTCAGTTTCTCCATCTGTAAAGTGGGAATAATGATAGTACCTACTTCATACAGTCATTGTGGTGACTAAAGAGTTAATATATGTAAACTATGCACAGTGCCTGGCAAGTAGTGTGCATCACGTACTCTCCTCATCACTTCTTAACTTTTTACAATGTGTTGCCGTTTTTCTCAATTCGTTATCTATCTTTTAACATGATTTATGGTATTTTCTCTGACCACACAAAAGTTTTATGCTTATATGTAGTCAAATCCATCCACCTGTTTTTCATTTTGATTTCTGAGTTTGGCAATCTTGCTAAGAATGTCCCCCATTCAGCCAGGCGAGGTGGTTCACGCCTGTAATCCCAGCACTTTGGGAGGCTGAGGTGGGCCACGAGGTTAGGAGATCGAAACCATCCTGGCCAACACACTGAAACCCCATCTCTACTAAAAATACAAAAAATTAGCCAGGCGTGGTGGCACATGCCTGTAGTCCAGCTGCTTGGGAGGCTGAGGCAGGAGAATCGCTTGAACCCAGGAGGCAGAGGTTGCAGTGAGCCAAGATCACACCATTGCACTCCAGCCTGGCAACAGAACAAGACTCCACCTCAAAAAAAAAAAAAAGAAAAGAAAAAAGAAAAACAAAGTCCTCCTTTCAAACAAATATCAGCTAGGACTCTTTATCTTGCAAGTGATAGAAGGGCGAACTCAAAATGACTTCACCGTAAAGAAAACCAGAAAAGTCCAGGGGTGAGACTGGCTTCAAGTGAGGCTTGATACAGTGGCTCAAACGATGTCACCAAGGACTTAGGATCCCCCTCTCTGCCCTGCCTTGCACGGTAGGCTTCATGCTTAGGTGCACCTACCTGCATGGCAGGGCACTTGATGTGCCAATCCTTAACTAGAATTTAAAAAAAGACAAGTCAACAATTTACAAGTTCTTATTAGTCATGCATTTGTACTAGTCATGTTTACAATTATAATACAAAGGTATTTTAAATTGTTGACAATTTTGGCATTGTGCTGATCCTTAATTAGAATCCATGGCCAGGAGGTGGCTGGATGATGGGCTTATGTCTCACTCAAACCAAACCACTAGGCTGAGAGGGAGATTTCTCAAAAGAAATCTGGAATTATGATTCCCAAAGAGAGGGTGGCTGTCTGCTGAGCAAAGAATTCCACGTGTCTCTATCCTTTTTTTTTTTTTTTTTAAGTTAAAAATTCCTTAATTTTTTATTCCTGGTACCACTACCACAATTTACAGGGCGATATACCTGATGTAATGAAAAGAAAAAGAAAAAAGACAAAGCTACAACAGATAAAAGACCTCAGGAATGTACATCTAATTGACACTATATTGCATTAATCAATAGCTGCACTTTTTGCAAACTGTGGCTATGACAGTCCTGAACAAGAAGGGTTTCCTGTTTAAGCTGCAGTAACTTTTCTGACTATGGATCATCGCTCCTTCCGTGGCAGGTTTTTACAGTTCCTCTAATGCATTTGGGACGACTGTCTCAAAGTCACCTGCAGCTTTCCTGACAGCTCCTCGCTCTCTCTCCTGCTAAGAACTGTAGCCCTTTTCTGCTGCTTTTAGAACCTTCTGCTACCATGTCCACCACTTCCACCACCAGATCCATAACCACCACCATAGGGACTGCCCGAGCTTCTTCCACCAAAACTGCCCCCTTTCATGGGTCCATAATTTGATTGCTGTTGTCCACTATAATTTCCAAAATCATTATAGTTCCCACCACCACCATAGTTACCACCGCCAAAATTTCCTCCTTCATTGTAACCATCATATCCTCCACCACCGCCACCATATCCACCACCTTGGTTTCCATACCCTGGTCCACCACCACCATGGCCCCCTCTGCTACTATAACCAGGACCCCTGCCATAGTTGCCACCATCACCAAATCCATTATATCCACCATCGCCTCCTCCATAACTGCCTCTGCTGCCACCACCTCCACCACCATAACCTCCTCTTCCACCAAAGTTTCCACCACGGCCAAAATTACCTCCACCACCTCCAAAGTTTCCTCCACGACCCATAAAATTGCCAGATCCACCTCCGCGACCTCTCTGGGATCCAGCAGACTGCATCTCTTGTTTAGAAAGGGCCTTTTTCACTTCACAATTATGCCCGTTAATAGTGTGGTATTTCTGAACAACAATTTTATCAACTGTATCATGATCATCGAAAGTTACAAAAGCAAATCCCCTCTTTTTTCCACTCTGCCTGTCTACCATAACTTCTATGGTTTCAATCTTGCCATACTTTTCAAAGTAGTCTCTCAAATTATACTCTTCCATATCTTCTTTAATACCACCAACAAAAATTGTCTTCACTGTTAGATGGGCACCAGGCTTTACAGAATCCTCTCTAGAAACAGCTCTCTTTGGTTCCACTACACACCCATCAACCTTGTGTGGTCGAGCACACATAGCTGCATCCACCTGTTCAACACAAGAGTAAGTCACAAAACCAAAGCCCCTGGAACGTTTGGTTTGGGGATCTCTCATTACCACCCAATCTGTAAGTGCGCCCCATTTCTCAAAATGTTCTCTTAAACGATCATCTGTAGTTTCAAAGCTCAGACCACCAATAAACAGTTTTCTTAACTGCTCTGGTTCCTTTGGATCATGGCCCTCCATTTTGAGACTGGACTCACCTCTTCCAACTCAAGTTCAATATGGGACCGAGAGCCACGTGTCTCTATCCTAATACTCTCCAGACTTTCTAGTGGCACTTCTTTTTTTTTCTGTTTTGCTTCATCTGGCCAGCTAGAAATTATTTTGGTGTAAGAAGTGATCCAATTTATTATTTTCCAAATGGCTAAGCTGTTATAACACCATTTCCGTCTTTTCTCTGCGGATTGGAAATGCCATCTGTATCAGAATATGGTGACCATTTCTAGCAGTGTCTCAGTGCACTCTAGGGTGAGCTGTGTGAGTGTTCTCCAGTTTCTGACTATACATTTACTTTACTCCCAAACTTCCTATTTTAGAATAAACGACTAGAGGAGGTGAAAAGAGAAGAAAGAGAATTACTGGAGGCTCAATCAATTCCCTTGAGAAACTATTTAATGACCTACGTGATGCCAACTCTTATTCAGGGCCTGAATGAATGTTGTAACGTTCGACCCGAAGACCCCATTGATTATCTGGTAAGAGATTTAATTTTTTAAAAAAGATCAATTTGAAGCTGAGTGTGGTGGCTTACGCCTGTAATCCCAGCACTTTAGGAGGCTGAGGTGGGCGGATCATTTGAGGTCAGGAATTAGAGATTGCCCTGCCAGCATGGTGAAAACTGTTTTTTTTTTTTTTTTACTAAAAATACAAAAAAGAAAAGAAAAGAAAAGGAAAAAAAAAATGGCCAGGCCTGGTGGCTCACACCTGTAATCCCAGCACTTTGGGAGGCTAAGGCGGGCAAATCACCAGGTTAGGAGTTGGAGACCAGCCTGGCCAATATAGTAAAACCCTATCTCTACTAAAAATATAAAAATTAGCCAGGCAAGGTGGCATGCACTGGTAGTTCCAGCTACTCGGAAGGCTGAGGCAGAAGAATCGCTTGAACCTGGGAGGCGGGGGTTGCAGTGAGCTGAGATTGCACCACTACACTCCAGCCTGGGTGACAGAGCAAGGCTCCATCTCAAAATAAATAAATAAATACAAATAAATAATTTTTAAAAATTAGCCAGGAGTGGTGGCACGCACCTGTAGTCCCAGCTACTTGGGAAGCTGAGGCAGGAGAATTGCCTGAGCCCAGGAGGCAGAGCTTGCAGTGAGCCGAGATTGTGCTGCTGCACCCCAGCCTGGGTGAAAGAGTGAGACTCTTTCTCAAAAAAAAAAAAAAAAAAAAAAAAAGAAAGTCTGCCTGAATCTTAACAGAAAACCAGTTGCGATAGCAAAACTATGTTTCTAGTTATTAGGGAAATAGCTTCTAATACATTCACCACTTAAAATAAGACTTTTTTTCCCCTCATTGGTCAAACCCATATAAGATTTTTATTATTCATTTGAAAGTAAAAAGTGTATATAGTATTATAGCTCTTTTAGAATTTGTCTAGCAGGCTTTCTGGTTTTGGCCAGAAATCCTCTTAAAAAAAATTTATGTACTTTAATTAATTTATTTATTTACTGAGATGGAGTTTCACTCTTGTTGCCCAGGCTGGAGTGCAATGGTGCTATCTCGGCTCACTGCAACCTCTGTCTCCCGAGTTCAAGCAATTCTCCTGCCTTAGCCTCCTGAGTAGCTGGGATTACAGGCATCTGACACCCCACCTGGCTAATTTTTTGTATTTTTAGTAGAGACAGAGTTTCAGCATGTTGGCCACGCTGGTCTCAAACTCCCAACCTCAAGTGATCCACCTGCCTTGGCCTCCCAAAGTGCTGGGATTACAGGCATGAGCCACCATGCCCAGCCCTGGATGATTTTTAAATTGTAAACATTACTAGTACAAATACATGACTAATAATAACTTGTAAATTGTTGACTTCCCTTTTTTTAAATTTTAGGCAGAATATCTCTTCAAGAACAATCCTGAAGCGCAGTGAAACTTTAAAGATCTTTTTACAGAACCACAGATCACTTATTGTACTTTGAAAAACTGCTTTGAAAAATGCTTTTCCAGTTCTTGGAAAATTCTTTTTTTTTTTTAATAGGCAAATGTTCTATAAACTAGAATTACTAAAAAGATGTATGGTATGAATGACTACATCAATAAAATTGTATTTGAAATGTAAATCGATGAAGACATCTGTGCATAGCTCATGAGACAAATACTGATTTAATATTTTATTCTTTAGTCAGATCTAAATATACTGCTTCTGTACACTAATGTTTATAGTTATTTAATTTACAGCATGAAGAAAATCAGACTACATATTGTAGACTATGTATTATTCTAACATGTAGGCTAATTTACATGACTTGTTATGGTCCCAATAACAATGGTATTAGAAATGGAAATAAATTTGAATGGTTTATGTCTTGTTGAGTCACAGTAAATCAGACAAGACTGGTGTCTGTAAGGTTGTTGTTTTTTGTTTGTTTGTTTTTTGATGAAGCAATGGTTAGGGAAAGGTTGCTCTGTGTTCAGGGTCAGAATCCCAGGCAATGAGTCAGAGAGAACTGTAAACCTTTAGGTGGAGAAAGTCACATAACAGGATCATTCCAATCTTTGTGATAAATAAGAAGTTACTAAATATTTTCAACACACTTTATAACATAGGCCTAAGTTATCAATCCGATGGTCTTTTCCAGTTCTAAAAATCCCGTAAGAGTCCTAGAATTACCTTAAATGAGAAATTAGTTTAGGTTTATTTTAATGGCATACTTATTTTATCCCTTTAAATAATGTAACCCAATATAACTGCCCTATTTTATATTTGTGGTGAAATACATGTAACATAAAATTCACCACTATAACCGTTTTAAAGTGTGTAATTCAGTGGCACTAAGTCCATTCACAATGATCTACAGCCACCTCTACCATCTAGTTCAGCGCTTTCTCATTACCCCACATGGAAGCCCAGCATCTATTAGGCAGTCACACTCCATTATTCCCTCCCCCCAGTTCCAGGCAACCACGAATCTGCTTTCTGTCTCTATGAATTTACCTATTATAAATAAAACCATACAATGGATGGCCTTTCATGTCTGGCTTCTTTCACTAAGCAAAATGTTTTCAAGGTTCATCCATGTCATACGATGTTTTAGTACTTTGTTCCTTTTCATAGCTGAATACTACTCCATTGTATGGATATGCTGCATTTTGTTTAATCGTTCGTTGATGGACATTTGGGTTGTTTCTACCTTTTGACTGCTGTGACTAGAACTAGCATGAACATTTGTGCACAAGCTCTTATCTGAACACAGATTGTCAGTTCTGCTGGCTAGATACCTAGTGGTAGAACTGCTGTCATGTGGTCATTCTATGCTCAACTTATTAAGAAACTGCCACACTGTTTTCCGCAGTGGCTGCACCACTTACATTCCCGTCAGTAGTGTATGAGGGACTCCAATTTTCTGCATCCTTACCAACACTTGTTATTTTCTGTGTGTGTGTGTTTTTTCAATGGTGATCATAGTGGGTGTGATGTGGCATCATATTGTGACTAAGCATCCTTTAATGTGCTTGCTGTCCATTTCAGTGTCTCCTCTGGAGAAATATACAGGCACACCCCTTAGATATCAAGGGTTTGGCTCCAGACCACCACTATAAAGCTAATATTGTAATAAAGCAAGTCACCCAAATTTTTTGGTTTCCTAGTGCATATAAAAGTTATTTTTACACTATACTATAATCTGTTAACTGTACAATAGCATTATGTCTAAATAACAAGGTACCTACCTTAATTTAAAAATACTTTATTGCTAAAAAATGCTAACAATAACCAGAACCTTCAGTTAGTCATAATCTTTTTGCTGGTAGAGGTTCTTGCCTTAATGTTGACGTCTGATGACTGATCAGGTTGGGGTGGCTGTGGCAATTTCTTAAAATAAGACAGCAATGGGCTGGGCCAGTAGGCTCACACTTGTAATCCCAGCATCTGGGAGGCTGAGGCAGGCGGATCACCTGAGGTCAAGAGTTCGAGACCAGCCTGGCCAATGTGGTGAAACCCCGTCTCTACTAAAAGCACAAACATTAGCAGGGCATGGTGGCATGTGCCTGTAATCCCAGCTACTTGGGAGGCTGAGGCAGGAGAATTGCTTGAACCCAGGAGGAAGAGGTTGCAGTGAGCCGAGATCGTGCCATTGCACTCCAGCCTGGTTGACAGAGTGAGACTCCATCTCAAAAAAAAAAAGACAGCAATGCAGTTTGCCACATCGACAGACCCTTCCTTTCAAGAAAAATTTCTCTGTAGCATGTCATGTTGTTTGATGGTATTTCACCCACATTAGAACTTTTTCTTTTTCTTTTCTTTTCTTTTCTTTTAATTAAAGATGGGGTTTCACCATGATGGCCAGGCTGGTCTTGAACTCCTGACCTCAGGTGATCCACCCACCTCGGCCTCCCAAAGTGCTAGGATTATAGGCGTGAGCCACCGCGCCTGGCTAGAACTTTTTCAAAATTTGAGTCAATCCCCTCAAATCCTGATACCGCTTTATCAACTAAGTTTATTAAATATTCAAAATCCTTTGTTGTACATTTCAACAGTGTTCACAGTGTCTTCATCAGGAGTAGATTCCATCTTAAGAAACTGTTGGGGGGAGACCCCATAAGTGCCGAGGCAGGAGTCAGAAGCCTCAGCCTATCCCCATATAAATAATGAAGAAGAAAATAATTAGAGATAACCCTTAGAAAGTGGAACCTTTTTGGATTAAAAGGAAAAAAGAAAAAGAAAATAATTAGAGATATAACCATAGTAGTTATGCATATGTGATCTTAGTTATTCATATGTGATCTTAGTTCTTTTACTAATGCCTCTCAGGTCATGAAGTGTGAACCTGGGGTGACACTGTGAAAGGAATGACCCTAATGCAAGATGCTTTAAGCCCTCTGTCACGCCCATGTAAGGGCTGCTGGAGGGGGTCTAGGCTATGTGGCAGTGCCAGCACTGGGAAAGCACCTGCTATTTAGCAAGCTGCATAAGGAGATGTCAGAGATGTCTCTTTCCCCAGAGGAGTTAGGAGAAAGCTCCGCTCCTCCAAGCTCTTGCGGTCGGTGGAGGAGTCAGAAGACACATTTATCAATTAAGCTTGCTGTCTTATATGGGCATGGTTTGTGGCATCCCAGAACAATTACAATAGTAACATCAAAAATCACTGATAAATAATTTTTAAAAATCACTGGTAAATTATTCCTTGGTCCATGGGCTGCAGAATAGATGTTGTGTTAATACACACAAAAATGTTAATTTGTTTGTACGCCTCCATCACAGCTCCTGGGTGACTACATGCATTGTCAATGAGCAGTAATACTTTGAAAGGAATCATTTAGTTTCTGAGCAGTAGTTCTTAACAGTGGGCTTAAACTCTTGAGTAAACCAAGCCATTGCACAGTGGTTGATGCCTGTAGTTTCAGCTACTCAGGTGGCTGAGGCAGGGGGATTGCTTGAGCCCAGAAGTTTGAGGCTGTGATGTTCAATGATCACACCTGTGAATAGCTACTGCACTCCAACCCAGGCAACATACTGAGACTCTGTCTCTTAAAAAAAAAAAGTTCAGTAAGCCATGCTGTAAATAAATGTGCTATCATCCAGACTTCATTGTTCCCTGAATAGAGCACAGACAGAGTAGATCTGGGTATATTCTTAAGGGCCCTAGGATTTTCAGAATGGCAAATATACATTGGCTTCAACTTAAAGTCACCAGCTGCATTCATTTCCATCAAGAAAGTCAGTCTGTCTTTTGAAGGTTTGAAGCTGAGCATGGACTTCTCTTTAGGTAGGAGGGTCCTAGATGGCATCTTCTTCCAATATAAGGCTGTTTTCGCTTTGTTGAAAATCTGTTGTTCAGTGTAGCCACTTTCCTAAGTGATTTTAGCTAGATCTTCTGGGTAACTTGCTGTTGTGTCTACATCAGCACTTGCTATTTTCACCTTGCACTTTTAGGTTACGGAGATGGCTGCTTTTCTTAAACCTCATGAACCAACCTCTGCTAGCTTCAACTTTTCTTCTACAGCTTCCTCACCAGTCTCAGCCTTCATAGAATTAAAGAGAGTTAGGCCCTGGCTCTGGATTAGGCTTTGGCTTAAGGGAATGTTGTGGCTGGTATGATCTTCTGTAGACACCATTCAAACTTTCTCCGTATCAGCAATAAAGCTGTTTCACTTTCTTATCATTTATGTGTTCACTGGAGTAGCACTTTTAATTTCCTTCAAGAACTTTTTCTTTGCATTCACAACTTGGCTAACTGGCACAAGAAGCCTAGATTGTGGTCTATCTTGGCTTTCAATATGTCTTCCTCACTAAGCTTAACTATGTCTACCTTTTAATTTAAAGTGAGAGACTTGTGACTCTTCATTTGAATACTCAGAGGCCATTATAGGGTTATTACTTGTTTGTTTGTTTGTTTTTTTGAGGGAGAGTTTTGCTCTTGTTGCCCAGGCTGGATTGCAATGGTGCAACCTCGACTCACTGCAACCTCTGCCTCCTGGGTTCAAGCAGTTCTTCCTCAGCCTTCTGAGTAGTTGGGACTACAGGTGTGTGCCACCACACCTGGCTAATTTTTGTATTTTTAGTAGAGACAGGGTTTCACCATATTGGTCAGGCTGGTCTTAAACTTCTAACTTTGTGATCTGCCTGCCTTGGCCTCTCAAAGTGCTGGAATTACAGGTGTGAGCCACCACGCCCAGCCAATTCGTCTAATTTCAATATTGTTGTGTCTCAGGGAAAAGGTAGGTCAAAAAAGAGGGACAGAGATGGTAAAATGGCTGGCTGGTGGAGCAGTCAGAACACATATTTATTTATCAATTAAGCTTGCTGTCTTATATGGGTATGGTTTGTGGCATCCCAGAACAGTTACAATAGTGACATCAAAAATCACTGATAAATAATAATAAAGTTAGAAATATTGCAAGAATTATCAAAATGCAACATAGAAGTATGAAACGAGCACATGCTGTTGGAAGAATGGTGCTGACAGACTTGCTTGATGCAGGGTTGCAAAAACCTTCAATTTGTAGAAAACAGTGCCTGCAAAGTACAATAAAGCAAAGGACAATAAAATGAGGTGTGCCTGTGTATTCAGGCGCTTTGCTCACTTTTTCTTGGGGTTGTTTGTCTTTTTGTTGTTGAATTTTAAGAGTTGTTTATATGTTTTGGATACAAGACCCTTACCAAACAATGATTTGCAAAGATTTCCTTCCGTCCCATGGGTCTTTTCATTCTGTTGAGAGTGCCCTTTAAGACACAAAAGGTTTAATTTGGGGAAAGTTTAATGTGCCTATTTTTAATTTTGTTTCACTGCACTATTTTTGGAAACTATTTTTTTATAATTTCAACTTTTATTTTAGATTCAGCGGGTAACATGTGCAGGTTTGTTACATGGGTATATTGTGTGACGCTAAAGTTTGGGACACAAATGATCCCATCACTCAGGTGGTGAGCACGGTACCCAAATGTTTTTCAACCCTGGCTCCCCTCCTCTCCTCCCACCTCTAGTAGTCTCCAGGGTCTATTGTTGCCATCTCTACCTCCATGAGAACCCAGTGTTAATTAGCATAGGATAATGGCCCCCAGCTGCATCCATGCTGCTGCAAAGGGCATGATTTCACGATTTTTCATGGCTGCACTCTATACTGTTTTTGACCCTTACATTTTAATAAGAGTCATGTATCTAAAAGAGTTATTTAAATAAAGAGAATACCCTTCTATTTTAATAAGAGTCATGTATTTAATAAGAGTCGTTATTTAAATAAAGAGAATACATTTTCCACAGTTTGGAATCATTAGTCTTTATAATAGTTACATTTTCATGCCTTCATTTCATGACCTTGCTTCCAAGTTTACTGGAAAAAAAAGCAAGGCATCAAAAGAGAGCTTCTTTGTCTTCATGGGTCATGGAACCAGTAAAAGAAAAAAAAGAATAAAAGAATTAAAGAGAGCTTCTAAATCCTCCCACTACAAACCTTTCTCTGCTTTCCCTTCTGCTACAGAGGAGAACTGTGTGTGCTCCTATCTGAGGTCAGCCCTTAGCTTGTGCCCTCGCTCCTGTCCCTCCTCACATCATCAGATTCTACTCTTAAAATTGTCTCCTCTCTCATAGCTTAATTTTTCTCTCACTTCTGGATCATCATTCCAAGCTTGAAACATGAGGTACTAGCTTCCGTACTTCAAAACCAAATTAAAATGCAAAAACCTTCCCACACCTCCACATCCTCCTCCAGCTATGGTCCCAATATAGCAAAGTTACTAGCGAGCTCCACATTTCCAAATCCAATTGGTAATTCTCAGGCCTCATCTTACTGGGCGTCTCTGAGCATCTGACACATTTTATCATTTCCTCCTTGAAGCACTTTCTTCCCTCCATCTGAATGTCTAGTAGGCATGATAAACTTTAACAAGGCCAACTCTTGATTCCTGATCCCCCTCCTCCCTCCCCTCTACCTGCTGCTCCCCGCACTTCCCACCTCAGTTACGGCAACTCCATCCTTCCAGTTGCTCAGGCCCAAAACCTTGGAGTCATTCATCATTCTTTTTCTTTTATCTCTCTCCCTTTTTTTTTGAGATGAAGTCTCTCTGTCACCCAGGGACTGGGGTGCAGTGGCGTGATCTCAGTTCCCTGCAACCTCTGTCTCCCGGGTTCAAGCCATTCTCCTGCCTCAGCCTCCCAAGTAGCTGGGATTACAGGTGGGTGCCATCACGCCCGGCTAATTTTTGTATTTTTAGTAGAGAATACTAAAAATTGGTTGGCCAGGCTGGTCTCGAACTCCTGACCTCAGGTGATCCACCTGTCTTGCCCTCCCAAAGTGCTGGGATTACAGGCATGAGCAACCGTGCCCAGCCCTTTTCCTTTTCTCTTACCCCTCCCCCATCCATTATATGGATGCATTATGTTGGCTCAACTTTCAAAACATATCTGGAGTCTCTGTACTTCTCATCCTTCCAACACTACTGCCCATTAATCCATTAACCCATTATTCCGTTAATCTATGAATGGATTAATGCATGCATGAGGACAGGGCCCAATCATCTCTTAAGGGTCCCACCTCTCCATACTGCCACATTGGGGATTAAATTTAAATATGAGTTTTGGAGGGATCAAATATTCAAATCATAGCAAGCTGGCATCATTTACAATAAAATAGGTAGGGGTAACCTAAGGAAGATGTGTGAGAATTCTACTGAAAATTACAAAATATTACTGATAGTAATTAAATATGAAGTAAATGGAGAAATGAAGGGACAGGCCATATTAATAATCTATAAAGCCCAACATTGTTAATACTTCAATTCTTCCCCCAAATGATCTATAGAGTCAATGTAACTCCAATCAGAATCCCAGCATCTTCTTTCTCTCTCTCTCCCCTTCCCTCCCTCCCTCCACTCCCTCCCTCCCTCCTTCCCTCCCTCCCCTCCCTCCCTCCTTCCCTCCCTCCCCTCCCTCCCTCCTTCCTTCCTTCCCTCCCTCCCTCCTTCCTTCTTTGCTTGCTTCCTTCTCACTTAATTTTTTTTTAGGGGATGAAAATCAGCAATCTGGGCCAGGCATGGTGGCTTACGCCTGTAATCCCAGCACTTTGGTAGGCAAGGTGAGCGGATCACCTGAGGTTAGGAGTTCAGACCAGCCTGACCAACACGGAGAAAACCGGTCTCTACTAAAAATACAAATTAGCTGAGTGTGCTGGCGCATGCCTGTAATCCCAGCTACTCGGGAGGCTGAGGCAGGAAAATTGCTGGAACCTTGGTGATGGAGGTTTCAGTGAGCCAAGACTACACCATTGCACTCCAGCCTGGGCAACAAGAGCAAAATTCCATCTCAAAAAAAAGAAAAAAAAAAAAAAGGCCGGGTGTGGTGGCTCACACCTGTAATCCAAGCACTTTGGAGGCCAAGGCGGGTGGGTCACCTGAGGTTGTGAGGTCAAGACCAGCCTGACCAACATGGTGAAACCCCATCTTTAGATGGCAATGCAAAAGACATAGAATAATCAAAACAATCTTCAAGAACAAAGCTATAGTACTTAAACACTCCAGATATCAAGACTTATTATAAAGCTACAGTGATTAGAACAGACACATAGATGAATGGAGCAGAATCAAGAACCTAGCAATGGACTCACACATTTACAGTCACCTGACTTACAGCAAAGGTGCCATGCCAATTCGATAGGAAAGAATGTCTTTTAATAAATGGTCCGGCCGGGTGCGGTGGCTCAAGCCTGTAATCCCAGCACTTTGGGAGGCCGAGGCGGGTGGATCACGAGGTCAAGAGATCGAGACCATCCTGGTCAACATGGTGAAACCCCGTCTCTACTAAAACTACAAAAAATTAGCTGGGCATGGTGGCACGTACCTGTAGCACAGCTACTTAGGCGGCTGAGGCAGGAGAATTGCCTGAACCTGGGAGGCGGAGGTTGCGGTGAGCCGAGATCGAGCCATTGCACTCCAGCCTGGGTAACAAGAGCGAAACTCCGTCTCAAAAAAAAAAAAAAAAATTAATGGTCCATGGCCGTCAACTGGCAATCCACATATTAAAAACAAAGCCAAAGCCAAGCCTTGACCTCTATCTCATACTGTACACAAAATTATTTTGAAATGGAGCATAGAATTAAATGTGAAAGTCAAAATAAAGTGGCTGGATGTGGTGGCTCATTCCTGTAATTCTAGCACTTTGGGAGGCCAAGGCAGGAGAATCACCTGAGGCCAAGAGTTCCAGACCAGCCCAAGTGACATAGCTGGCACCTTGTCTCCACTGAAAATAAAAAAAATTAGCTGGGCGTGGTGGCATGCACCTGTAGTCCCAGCTACTTGGGAGCTGAGGCAGGAGGATCACTTGAGCCTGGGAGATGGAGGCTACAATGAACTATGATCATAGCACTGCACTCCAGCCTGGGTGACAGAATGTAAGACCTTGTCACAAAAAATAATTAGATAAGTAAAATAAAAGAGGATATGAATTTAATGAAAAGACTGCTCAATAGTATAATATTCACTGGATAAAAATGCTTATATTATTATTTTTATTTTAGTAATTAATAGGTCTTTTTTGAAAAAGTATTGGCCCAGTGGATCATCAAAGTTTCTTATTGGATAAAAATCTCTGTGTCACACAGGATCTCCCATTACTACTCCTAAATGACACCAAAACACAAATTCATGTAGTTCCCAATATAGGAAGAGCTTCTGTTCTCAAAAACATTTTCATGTACTTTTTGTTGTTTGAATGCACTGTGGACTTCTGGGAACCAGTTTTGAAATTCTTCCACTATTTATGACATTGTTCTCTGGAAAATTTAATCAGGATGATACAGTAGTTCCCCTTATCTGGAGTTTCTCTTTACTGTTTTGGTTACCTGTGGTCAACTGTAGGCTGAAAATAGTAAATGAAAAATGTTAGAAATAAACAACTCCTAAGTTTAAAATTCCATACCACTCCTAGTGTCATAAAATCTTGTGCTCTCTCGCTCAGGTGGACATGAATCATCCCGTCCTATGCTTCCACATTGTATATACTTAGCAGCCCTCTTCACGATCGGATCAACTGCCCAATATTACAGTGCTTGTGTTCAGGTCACTCTTATTTTACTTAATAATGGCCCCAGAGAGGCATGGGTGGAAAAAATAATACTAATAATAATGGCCCCAAAGGGCAAGAGTAGTCATGCTGGTACCTTATTCTAATTGTTCTATTTTATTATTGTTGCTGTTGACCTTTCACTGTGCCTAATCTACAAACTAAACTTTATCATAGGTATATATGTGTAGGCAAAAACGTAGTAAATATAGGGTTCGGCACTACCCTCGGTTTCAGGCATCTGCTGGGACTCTTTGAAGGTATTCCCTGGGGATAAAGAGAGATTACTTAAAATTCCAGTAGAACACGTCTTCCCCCTTCCCCGCAGCCAGGAGAAAACAGGCACTCAGTGATGGGGCAATAGCCCTGGAGACCAGCAGTAGCTGGAGGGAGATGGGCAGGACTCAGGACAAGCAAGGCAAGGGTAACAGTAGACTGGCACCAATATACTGTTAATTGGTCTTATCTCACTCTTCACCTTCCTTGGCGAGAGTTTTATTCTTAACTGGGTCCTAAATATGATCTGTGAGCATCTAGTTTATTACTCATTCATAAAATTTGAGTTGGAGTAGGGTGTATATATAAGGTCCTTCCAGAGCCAAAACATGATTCCAAGCCATGATTCTTGCTTTCAGAGTTTATGTTTCCAGCCCAGATTTCTCTTCTTAGCTCCAGAAGCCTATTTTCAACTGTCTTATAGACATTTCTGAATGTCCCACAGGCACTTCAAAATCAACACATAGCTACTGCTCTCCCGGTCTCATCCACTCACCCAGTTATCCTCCTCTACTTCCTACTTCATTTACCAGTGGCTCCAGCATTGTCACCCGCCCCCACCCAGAACCTCTGAAATCATTTTGGTTTTCTTCCTCTCCATCACCTCTCCCATCCAGAATTAACTATGCCTCCTCAATCTTTCTCAAATTGTTCCCTTCTTCTTTTCCTTATTTCAAACTTCATTTCTCATTGAACAACTGCAAGAGCCACCCCACCCATCTTCCATCTTCAAAACCTCTCCTAGTTTAAATTCATTCCTTACACTTTCAGTCATCTTTCCAAAAATATAAATGTAACCTCACTCCAGTTTTAAAACTTTAAATGGCTCCTCCATTCACAAAAAGAAAAATTCAAAATCTCTTAGAATTAACTTCAGGTCTCAGCTCAAAGGTCAGTTCCTCTGAAAAACCTTGTCTATCTGAAGTTGACCTTCACCATAACTCTATCGCCTGGTTTGTTAATGGTTCTTATCACGGTCTATAATTCCTTTATCTGTTTATGGTCATTATATGCCCTCCCATCTCCCTTTTTTCTTTTTTGAGACGTGGTCTCATTCTGTCACCCAGGCTGTAGCGCATGGCATGATCTTGGCTCACTATAGCCTTGACTTCCTGGGCTCAGGTGATTCTCCCACTTCAGTCTTCTGAATAGCTGGGACTGCAGTGTACACCACCATGCCCCTTATCTTCTGCCTCTCACTTGCTTTCCAGCTTTATTTCCACCACTCCTCACTAAATATTTTGTGGTTTAGTCTTCAAAAATCTCCCTTTCTCCAAATAAATTATTTGCACTTTTTAATATTTGTTTATTTATTGAGGCAGAGTTTTGGTCTTGTTTTCTAGGCTGGAGTGCAATGGCATGATCTCGGTCCACTGCAACCTCCGCCTCCCAGGTTCAAGTGATTCTCCTGCCTCGGCCTCCCTGAGTAGCTGGGATTACAGGCACCCACCACCATGCCCGGCTAATTTTTGTTTTTACTAGAGATAGGGTTTCACCATGTTGGCCAGGCTAGTCTCGAACTCCTGACCTCAGGCGATCTACTTGCCTCAGCCTCCCAAAGTGCTGGGATTACAGGCGTGAACCACCGTGCCCAGCCTTATTTTATTTTTAAAACTTGTTCTCTTTACCTGAGATGCCCCTCTACTCCTGTCCACTTATCAAACCCTAGCATATCGGGATGGGTCTGTAGTGACCTCTAGCATGAAGTCTACCTTGACTCCAACCTCAATATTGTTCCTTTTAAATGTCTTAGGCAAGAAGAGTGGTATCTAGCACATTCTAGGTACAAAATAGTCATCAGCTGTGCTATCTAGCTGCCTCATTCTATGAAAGGCTGAAACAAAAATAGTTTGAAGCAATTATAGACCAAAAGCATGGATGTTTACCATCCTTTTCTTCACTGCCTTCTGAGATGCCTGGCAGAGGACAGCATAAGCTGAAAAAGTCCCCATTCTTTAATTCACACAGTTCATCATTAGTGCGTATCTTTTTCTTTTTACTTCCTGGGCTCATCTCTACTAAAAAATACTTTTTTTCTTTTCTCTCTCTTTTTTCCTCTTTCTTTTCCTTTTCTTTCTCCTTCCTTCCTCCCCCCCCCCCCACCACCTCCACCCTCTCTCTGCCAAGGTCTTGCTCTGTTGCCAAGCTAGTGTGCAGTGGCAGGATCAGGGCTCACTGCGGTCTTGACTTCCTCGCTTCAGGTGATCCTCCCATCTCAGCCTCCCAAGTAGCTGGGACTACGGGCATGTGCCAAGCCCAGCTAATTTTTTTGACTTTATTTTTTTAGTAGAGATAAGATTCTGCCATGTTGCCCAGGGTGGTCTAGAACTCCCAAGCTCAAGGAATTGTCTGCCTCTCAAAGTGCTGGGATTACAGGTGTGAGTGAGCCACTGTGCCAGGCCTCAGGGCATTTCTTTTTTTGGGGGGGCGGAGTCTTGCTCTGTCGCCAGGCTGGAGTGCAGTGGCACAACCTTGGTTCACTGTAACCTCTGCCTCCTAGGTTCAAGCTATTCTCCTGCCTCGGCCTCCCAAGTAGCTGGGACTATTTGGGAGGCCGAGGCAGGTGCACACCAACACACCCAGATAATTTTTGTATTTTTAGTAGAGAAGGGGTTTCACCATATTGGCCACGATGGTCTCTCTTTTTTTTTTTTTTTTTTGAGACAGAGTTTCGCTCATGTTGCCCAGGCTGGAGTGCAATGGCGTGATCTCGGCTCACCGCAACCTCCGCCTCCCAGGTTCAGGCAATTCTCCTGCCTCAGCCTCCTGAGTAGCTGGGATTACAGGCACGCACCACCATGCCCAGCTAACTTTTTGTATTTTTAGTAGAGACGGGGTTTCACCATGTTGACCAAGATGGTCTCGATCTCTTGACCTCGTGATCCACCCGCCTCGGCCTCCCAAAGTGCTGGGATTACAGGCTTGAGCCACCGCGCCCAGCCTGATGGTCTCTATCTCTTAACCTGGAGATCTGCCTGCCTTGGCCTCCCAAAGTGCCGGGATTACAGGTGTGAGTGAGCCACTATGCCCGGCCTCAGGGCGTATCTTTATAAGCAACTTTTAAAGTCCACAGCCTTAATACATTATTGAATTATCTGGATCTCAGATTTTCAGTCTTTAAACGACAACTATGCTTCTGGGTCCCCAGTCAAAGCCACCTTGATGACAAGAGGATAAGAGACTAAGTGGAAGAAATGAGAATCAAATACAAATCTGTGTCCAGATCAGCACAATTTATGGAAATGAAGACCACATATATAACTTAACATTTTCTAGTGGTCACATTTAAAAAAACAGATACAATTAATTTTTAGTTTTTTTTTTTTGAGACGGTCTCCTTCTGTCAC